TGAGAAAATAATCTACGTGGAGATACAAGTTTAATAATAGCAATGAAAAGTATGAATGCCGCAGACATCACCACGCAACATGACAATTTGTTCAAGGTTTGGTTTTGTGTGTTTCCAAAATCGATTTTCACGTTCCGATCATCAGTGGAAATACGGAACTAAAGAGATCAAGGGAAAAACAAAGGTTAAAAATCCAAAGAAGTGTGACACACGACGGGTAGCTTGTGGTAAGTATTACAAAAAGTGAGAACTAAAATAAGGAGTAAGTGTGACAAACGGGCATGAACAGTGCAGAAACAACTCATGAACACGGGGTGCAAACTCACGAAAATAACCTAAGTGCTAAAACATGTTCTTTTTGCTTACACAAATCGGGCTTATGCGTACGAATACAAACAGCTTCAAGGACCTTCAACTGCTGGACATAACGGGCACGACACAGTAGAGAGAAGTGGGAATCATCATACACACTCAAACAATCGGGACGAGATAACAAATGCAAATACACAGCTGACTTCTTACGAATTTCACCCTCATCAGCTCCATCACCTTCCCTGCCACCTGACCCCTCCTCGTCCGTTTTATCACCATCACCACCAGCCGTCTCACCGTCATCCGCCTCATCTTCATCCGCTGCCTCGTCATCACCCGCCTCGTCGTCATCTGTATCCTCGCCGTCATCCGCCTCGTCGTCATCTGTATTCTCGCCATCCGCCGCATCATCACCCAACTCATATTCACCACCAGTCAGTCGTCTGATACCATCCATGTTCTCCTTCCTACGTCTGTCCCGTGTCACTGTCCTTACCTCATCTACGTCCCGGGATTGTGTTCCGTTTTGCCCCCGGCTTCCGGTCTCCTTCGATGCTCCGCGTGGGCCTTGGCCATTCCTAGCATATATTTTTTATTTGAAGGTCCTTGAAGCTGTTTGTATTCGTACGCATAAGCCCGATTTGTGTAAGCAAAAAGAACATGTTTTAGCACTTAGGTTATTTTCGTGAGTTTGCACCCGGTGTTCATGAGTTGTTTCTGCACTGTTCATGCCCGTTTGTCACACTTACTCTTTATTTTAGTTCTCACTTTTTGTAATACTTACCACAAGTTACCCGTCGTGTGTCACACTTCTTTGGATTTTTAACCTTTGTTTTTCCCTTGATCTCTTTAGTTCCGTGTTTCCACTGATGATCGGAACGTGAAAATCGATTTTGGAAACACACAAAACCAAACCTTGAACAAATTGTCATGTTGCGTGGTGATGTCTGCGGCATTCATACTTTTCATTGCTATTATATGAGAAAAGCATACACATACAACATACAACTACAGCGCACACAGCAAATCGCGCATAGCGCATGTAGCGTATACTACGTTGTAAACATCAGCGGTACGGCGGAGTCGGGATACAACTGCATTGAAACGAACACAATGTTACAAGCGAGAAGGCCTTTCACTCTCGAGAACTTGTGGTTTCACAACACTACCTGAATTGAAAGAAAGTGATTGAATTATGAAATGATTGGGAAAACTTCAAATTCAAAGGATCAGCTGGGGAAGTGAACTGCCTGAAAAGAGAAAAATCGCCAGCCCCAACAGGACTCGAACCCGGTACCTTTCTTGTCATGAGCAATGCTCTAACCACTGAGCTATGGGACCAGGCTGAACGCAGAAGACGCTGACAAGTTTTTCAATCCAAAGGTAGCTCACAACACGTGCCACACATACTGATGGTACTCGGGTCTTTTTCCTTCCCCCAGGGGACCAACCACGGTCAGTTTCTAGACCCTAACAGAAGTGAAAGAAAGTGATTAAATTTGAAAGGATTGAGAGAACTTCAAATTCAAAAGGATCAGCTGGGGAAGTGAACTTCCTGAAAAGAGAAAAATCACCAGACCCACCTGGAGCCATTCTCTGTATAATCCTTGATGCGGAGGGACCGAAAACGTTCACCTTTGGAGTAAAAAACTTGTCAGCGCCATTTGGGTTCAGCCTGGTCCCATAGCTCAGTGGTCAGAGCATTGCTCATAACAAGCGAGGTCCCAGGCTCGAATCTTGGCTGGTCTGGCGATTTTTTCTCTTTTCAGGCAGTTCACTTCCCGAACTGATGCTTTGATTTTGAATTTCTCTCAATCCTTTCAAAATTTAATCACTAACTTTCACTTCTGGTAGGGTCCAGAAACTGACCGCGGTCGGTCCCCTGGGGAGGGAGAAAGACCCAAGTGCCATCAGTATGTGAGCCGCAATCAGCGAAAACAACCGCTAGAGGTTTCGTAATTTTTTTCGAGAAAATGGTCGATTTGTGACGTTCAACGATTTTTGATCGCGCTGCGAATAGCGCGACGAGTTCTTCTTGAACTCCTTGTTTGAAGTAATTTATTTTGAAGAAGTGGTGTCGAGTGGCGACTCGAATGTTCCTTGATCTTGTTGCGATGGCTGCGGACGCCAGAGCTGTTCGCAGAGCACACACGGCATTCATTCTGTACAGCTAGCTTGAGCCTGACGGGGAGCGGATGCTGAAGTAGCCGCTGAAGTTCAGAGTGAGGATGAGACGTTCTTTGGTTCCAACATCGATGTCGACAGCGAGGCGGAATCGCAGCCGTCATCTCCTGCTGCGATGCGGCTCAAGGTGGCCAATGACTTGGCAGAGTCGGAAGATGAGGAGTCGTCACCTGAGATAAATTCTGAGTCTGGGGCTAGTGACGGCAGCGACGTCGTGTCTTCTGCTGTGGAGGAAGAAATGGAAGACGAGATTGCGGAACGACTCCACGCAGGGTGCAGCGGCGAATATGTGGATAATTTCTCGGCACTCATCAGCTATTCTTTGTCATTATAGCTGCTTACTGCACTATTTCAAAGGTATTCAAGCTGCCCACCCACCTTAGAATGCTGAATATTCATTGTACACATACATCGTATACATGCATTGCACCAGTTTGAAGTACATCTTGTATTTTGGTGTATACACCCGTTTGGAATCGGAATATTGAACTTTGTCTTGGCTGAGGTCCTTCAGTAGATGTGTTTCAACAAATTTCCAATCAAAAATGATTTTTGAAACTTTTGACCCTAAAGGCTGATTTCGCTGGTTGAGGCCCATATGTGGCACGTGTTGTGAGCTGCCTTTGGAGTGAAACACTTGTCAACGTCTTCTGGGTTCAGCCTGGTCCCAAAGCATAGTGATTAGAGCATTGCTCATGACAAGCAAGGTCCCGGGTTCGAATCCTGGCTTGTCTGGCGATTTTTCTCTTTTCAGGCAGTTCACTTCCCCAACTCATCCGTTGAATAATAATATTATTTTCCGTAGATTGAGTATTTTCGCTCCTGCTCTTGAAGTAGTTGAGCACTCTAATGTGGGGTAGTGCCTTTGCTGTTTGCATTACGCAGAGCTCACTGACTTGTCAGTTTGAGCACTCTGGCAAGGTATGTTCGGGCCTGATTGGAAATTTTTATTTTCATTGCTATCAGGTTCGACCTCATTTCCTCTGTGCTGCGCTGATGAGTTCACAAAGAACGAAACAGCATGCTCTCCGCAGATTGAGTAATATTATTGTTATAAAATTAGGGGTCGCACTTGGTATCATGATCAGCTCTCGACATCGTGGCCATCTTGCTTTTGACTGCATGCGCGACGCGTTCTCTTTTGGATCACGTGTGCGGTTCTCAATGCATTGTTTGCATTGAGAACTGTACAAGCGCTTCAAAGCTACGTATGATCAAGACCTGCAGATTTCTGTGAACAGTGTTTCTTCTTCTGATACCGTTCTTGTTTTGACACGGCGATGTTCTCTTTCCCCGGTCTCCTTTCAAAATAGAGTTCCATTTAGTTGTAAGTCACAACAGCTGCAAACTTACTGGTAAGTGGAAGTCTAAGGCTTGGGCGCAAGTATTCCCGCTTTGAATTCGCGTGTCAATACTCAGAACAACGACCGTGGGAATCGTGCGAGCGGAATATTTCTCAGGAGGAAAACGTTCTGTTTGCAAAGTTGCTTCGATCCGCAAGGAGTATTCCAGCAAAGAGTACACCTGCTACGGAAAGCGATCCTATCGGGACGTACTGACGGTATGGTTCCTTGTTTTATGTCACTCGTATCGGTACTTTCGTGCTGCACGGACTGCACTTGTATGATACATGTGACACAAACATCACAATCGCACGTTGTCGGCTTGAGTTGGTCTTGGAGTCTTCATGGTCCAGCAACGCGGCATCGCCGAGTTGGAGAAAGAAAGCAATGAATGTACATGAACATTGTTTCAAAACAAAGACACAGGGCAAAGCGTTGCAGCAGGCAGGTCATTCTGATCCCGTCCGAGCACCAAATAAACTCGAAGGCAGTCCAAGTACATGTACTTTTCGACACTGCGCGATCGCGCGAGCGGCTCGCGCTGGGCCGTCAGTGCAGTCTTCAAAATGTTCCTTGGCAGCCATCTCTTCTCCGATTTCGATGATCGAAAGCTCATTTTCTTTATTAGAATCTCCTCCGTAAATGTACCGAATCAATTTTTTCCTCAACGACATAGATTTACTGTCAGAATACTGGAAAGCAGGGCGACAACGCTCGGAAAAAGCCCTACACACGGATTTCCCTTCTACTTGACCGATTTCAAAATTTCTTTCGATAGATTTCCGCGTACTTGGCCGTCAAAGCAGCCCTGCGATTTTCGACGCCGTATCTAGATAAACAGCTGCCAAGGAACCCTTTACAAATCGCCCAAATATTTTTTTTTCGATATTTTGAATTTTCCGTAACTTTGATTGGCTGCACGACCCTGACGCACACGTGGTGCGTGCGTGATGAATCAAAAATGCCTGAGATGTCTAAGTACACAAGTGCGACCCCTGAAAATACACATCATGTCGTACAAGTGAAGTAGTTGCGTGATGTCTGCGGCCTTCATCCTATTCGCTGCTATAATTATTATAATTATTGTCTCCTTGTAGATTATTTGTATACTCCTTATAGCTATAATTTTGTTCTCGATTATTTGTAAGATCTGAAACATACCTTTTTCCAAACAAGACTTGACACGTTGGTCGACACGAACGCAGGAAGTGCAGTATTCAGCGGATAAATCGAGGGAAGGTAACGGAACAGAAAGACATTGTGTCAGAAGAAGAGGATTATCAAATAGCCACCTGAATTGATATCAGAGTTTATCAACAAACAAAAGGAACACAGTGGTGTGATTCATGAGGTATGGATTTCTGGCAACACACTGTCACCGCCGGATGGATTTTGTTAGATTTTGAACATTACTGACATGTATGAAGTTGCAGTATTCAGTTCAGGCTCTGGCAGTTGCATTTTCTAGTTAAGGGTCGGTTGAGTTGTTCCTAGTACATCGGCACGGCATACCTAGACCCTTCTGTTTTGTCCTTTTTCTTGCTTCTTTTTGTTCTCCATATCCTTTTACATCTCTTTTGTCCAGTCTACACTGGAATATGCAAGCTATGCTTACCGTATTATCTACATTATAAGCCCCGCGCTTAAATTTTCACAACCTTCCGGACCCCGGGGTTAAACTAGGGCCTGGGCTTCTACTAAAAAAAAGAAAATTCACAGTTCGCGTCAGACTCGGTTTCTCTATATAGAGGCTGAGTTTTCCGCATCCGTAGGAACACCACCACCCTAAAAGGATCAAGGCGCAGATGCAGCTCCTAAAGCGGTGGGAGGTGAGTAGATCAGCTCACCAGCATGTGGTCAAAGACCGAAATCCCATTCACTGCATCCATGTTTCTCGAGGTAAACATGGCTTCTACTAGAGCGTGGGCTTATCATTTTGCCTATTACGTTTCATTATATCAGTAGCACAACGTTTCCCAGAAGGTAGCGGGACTGCATTGCTGTGCTTCCTGGTACACTGTGTCTGATATTTATATTTCAGGGATCACAGCATGTGATACTGTGAAAGCCATTATTCTAACGAGGCTCATATTAACCGATTTCCTAAAAACGATAGGTTAACGTGCACAAAGGTTAAAGAATCTTGCTTAATGGTGGCGCTGATTTACCACTTTTTTTTCTACAAAATCCCCATATCTCCAGACACTGGGGTGAATGATGGAGTGTAATAGGAATACTAGTGCAGCACACCACTTGGTCAGTCTGTTCTACAGATACACACCACTTGGTCAGTCTGTTCTACAGATACAACAGTGTTCAACGCCGCTAGAACCAGTATTAAAATACACACATTGATAATAGAAAAATATTGCTGTGCTGCAATATGAGTAATCCAAGAGTGAATTTAGGGATAGTCTAGCTCTGCGGTATGGATTTTTATTTATTTTTTACTTTCTATATACTATGTTCACTTCCCTACAAAGTAATAAGAGTAATTAAAGAGACAAACACAAAAGACAAAGACAACAAAGGAGTAGTAGGTGCTACAAGAGCTGTGCTCGTAAGGCGCAGTGCACTCCTCCGACTATTTCGATCTCGGAATCGACATGTAAGGGGCGGGCCAAGTGGTATACGATGATGGACGTATGAGAGAATTTGAGAATGCAACAGAAATGAGAAAGAGAAGATCAGAAAATGGCAATAAATAAGATAAATTGTGCACTCATAACAACAGCAAAAATGAAGAAAGTCAAGTTCCATAACGTTTTCTTGTGACTGCCATCAGTGGAACGCCACGTCACGTCACGCCGAGAGAGAAGGAGGGAGGGAGGGAGCAAGGGAGGGAAGGAGGGTGGGAGAGAGAGAGAAAAAGAGAGAAAGAGGGAAAGAGAGAGAGAAAGAGAGAGAGGGACAGAGAGAGGGAGAGAGAGAGAGAAAGAGAGTGGGAGAGAGTGAGAGAGAGAGAGAGTGAGAAAGAGAGGGAGACACACAGAGAGAGAGAGAGAGAGAGAGAGAGAGAGAGAGAGAGAGAGAGAGAGAGAGAGAGAGAGAGAGAGACGGAGAGACGGAAAGACAGAGAGAGAGAGAGAGTGAGAGAGAGAGAGAATTATCAGTGGCGTTAGTTGTTGTCCATTGCCCAAAGCCAGTGCTTGTGGCGCAAATGCCTGTGAAGATTCGCTTTGAACGCCTGCATTTTCTTAACCTGGAGTTTGTCAAGCATCTCTGCTGGGAGACTGTTCCACACTTCCACAAGGCAGAAGGGAAATGACCGGCGGGTGTAGTTAGGGGCACCGTGTGGGAGGGCAAGCTCCAGGTAGGCAGGGTGGCGGCTCGCGTCGAGCTGTCGTCTAGTCTTGGGGTGAGGTCGTGGCGGTTCCAGATTTGGAAGCATTGCGGTGAGTTGCACTGGGCCATCAGTGGAGTGTAGCTTGTACAGGTACGTGAGGCCAGCAACCGAGCGGTGTAGACTGAGGAAGTCCAGGAGGGTGCCTGGGTCGATGATGTCCAGAGCCCTCCTCTGGACTCGATCTCGGTGATCGAGATGGGTCGGGCGGGCGCCCATCCAGACCAATGGGGCATACTCCAGGACTGGGCGTAGGAAACCTTTGTACATTGCCAGGCGGCCGCCCCGAGGCAAGACGTGGTCAAGTCGTCGGAGAAAGCCTAGTCGTTGGCTTGCACAGACTGCGACATTGTGGAGGTGGTTGCGGAATGACAGTTTGGCATCAAATGAGACTCCCAGGAGTTTAAGTGTTTCAGTCTTTGCAAATTGGGTACCTCCAAACGCTACAGGGTCCAGCGCTGGGGTTTCTGATCTCGTGCTGATCACCAGTTGATGCGACTTCTGTGGCTCGAAGCGGATGCGCTACGAATCTCCCCACAGGTAGAGGCGGTTGAGGGCCCCCTGGAGCCTGTGTCCGGGGTTTGTAGAATCATCAGTTAGTGGCATTAGATGGTACAGTGTAGTATCATCGGCGTACGTGCTCAGCTTAGTGCCTGGTGTTAGCCACTGGTCGATGTCACAGACGGAAAGGAGGAAGAGCGTGGGGCCAAGTATGCTACCTTGTGGCACTCCAGCTGTGATTGCAAGCGGTGTTGATGCTTGCCCGTGTATAACCACTTTGAGCTGGCGATTCGAGAGGTAATTCGTGAGCCACTGCAATAAATTCTCCCTGAGGCCGATTTGTGTTGCCTTTTTTGTGCTGCCTTATTTGTGCTTTTCATAACTGCTGTGGTGTTAATAATGTACATCTTTAATACCACCAAAATTCCTCTCTTTTAAAACGTAGTGCGTGGATTTGCATCCATCTGCCACCATTTTACTGGATTATTCTCAAAACGGAGTCCACAATGCCCTTTCTTCTGTGCCTGCATCCTCTGTTCAATCTGAGCAATGCTGTCATGTGCCCCTTAGAAGGTGTGTCTTGTTATTGTATTTCTATTTCTGTTGTCGTTGCTCTTTTATTTCCATGCCGCACCGAATGCTCGGTGCTCATTTCCCAAGTCCATTTAGCACGTGCGAATTTGTGGGCGGTTTACCACCGCTGACATTGACGCGTAAGTGCATAATAATAATAATAATTTGAAACTCGAATGTTGAGCTATAAATAAATGTAGAAAGGAAAAGGACATATGGATACGAGTTGAGAGTAACTCTCCATCACTGTAACTGGATACTATATACAGTCAGGAAGTGCAATAACTAGGCACAAAACTGACAAGAGTACTGAGACATTCGACATCCTGACACCTAGCTTCAACACATCTCCGTAGCACTAACCGACAGCCTTCCAACTTGGAAGGTTCAAGGTTATGGAAAGACCAAAGAGGGGACGAAAACGAGCAAAAGCTACAGTCCCAACGGAACACAGAATGTCGATTGTTACTGGACGATGACGAGACCAGTATGATATTTGACAAAGCGGTCTAACTACAATTCGAAGCAGCAAAGCAGCACACCACCCAACTTGGGTGGGTCATAAATATCAAAGATAAGTAAATAAAGGAGAAGCTTTGCGAAAACGAATTGTGCAAGCCGAAAGCCAAACTCCTACAGTACTCCTCATGCATGACATTGTGATGGACTAGTTGAGTACAAAACAAGTTGTTTCACACGACGTACGTTTCGCCGTATGGTTCATGACGGCTCATCAGGTGTGCAATTTCAGGGCTAGTATTTGCACAGAAACACGTGGGCGCCCTCTTGGTTCACGTGACATGTGTCGCACCATGCTGTGTACAGGGAATCTTGCCGTACTTCGCGTCGACCCTGGTCTCTTCAAATCCACGCAAGTGAGCATCAGTGATCTCCAGGAAGCTGAGATTTTGCACGAACCGAGTTCAGATGAGGGCAAAGGGATTCACTGAAGGAATTTTTTATTTTCGCAATTTTAGACCTCAAGTAACTCCCTCAAACTCGGTTAACGTCTCCGATCGTTTTGGAGAAAATCGCTTCGGTCAAAGTATGCAGCATTTCCTACTAAACATTTTGAGCCATCGATTGTCAAAATCGGCTCATGTGGAGCTCACTTGTGTCGTTTTGAAGAACGCCGCGCCACGCGCGATTTGCGCTTGTGGAGGAGGTGAAGTAGAACTGCAGTGCTCACAGCAAGGAAAGGAAGTAGAAGTGCATTTTCAAAAATTTTGTTGCACTTGTTTCCTTTGCTTTTATTGTTCACTGATAGCACGTTCACAAAATATGGAGCTAGAGAGAAGGCAGACTTGAAGATCCATCTAGGCTTCAGGAGTTTCAGCCGGCTGTGTGGCGGACTGCCTGGGTTGCCGTGGCGCACGCCGCTTGTAGTGGACAGACCTGGTTCGTGCTTCACTCTCCATCTCCGTCATATTCTTTTCATGGTCCGGTCGCTGGCGATGGCAACGAAGGGAGTCGCTGTAGACTTCTGCAGCTGTTTTCGTTCGAGCCGCTGTCTTGCTTCTGATATTCTTGACCTGCTCTCGAGCTGCTGCAAGCCGTTCTGGTGTGACCATCGCAGAGTATTCTTTCATCTGCCTGCTGATGTTCTTCGCCATGGTGGAGGTCATACCCGGTGTGGTCTTCTGTCGAGTCTTCTTGCTGAGCTCTTTGTTGGCTGTTTTGTGAATGATATTCTCCACAAAAAGATGGGTTGCTTACTTGCTGAGTTCGGACTCATTTGGGTGAACGTACAGCTGGGCAATGTTGAATTGTCGTTCTGCGACAAAGTTGTTCACAGGAATAGCAAAGACGTGCTTCACAAACCACTTCCACGTCTCTGGGATTTTGTCTGGAGACAAACATTGTCCAGTCCTAACC